TTTTACTTTCTAGGAGCTCCTTTTTGTTCTGACTGTTTCTTCTTCATAACCTTCTGTTTTTGTCTGATATTGTCTTCAGTCATTTTTAATTTCTTACATTTGTGTTTGAGTTTTCTTTGATGCTACAGATTTTTCTCAGATGTGTGTGATCCTTTGTCATCCGTCCATGTCTGAGAATGCGGAATGGGCTAGATGAGTGGGAATTCTGTGTGTATGGCAGGAGCTTATCATCTGGGGTGGGGGTGGGGTGGGTTGTGGGTGTATGAAGCTGCTCTCAGGCTGGGACAAGTGGAAGGCTTCCCTCTGGGCATGGATGTTGCCAGAGGCTCCGTTTATCTCCTTCAGGAAAGAGGCCACCATCCTTTTTCTCTATGGGGATAAATGTATGGCAGCAGGTACATCTGCAGGTGCAGGGGACAGGGTGGGGGTGTCAAGGGAAAGGTCAGGGCCAGGAGAATGCAGACCTCCAGTTGCTCATCTCATCTCTGTCTTCAGCCACGACTCCCACCTCCATCACTCCTGCCACTTCTGGGCAGGAGCCTTTCATGAACTCTAGAATGCAGGTAGCACCCCATCCTCCACTGCAGCATCCACTGCTCACTCACTGGGCCAAAGCTGACCAGGCAAGGTAGGTACAGTCTGGCAGATCGCAAAATATGCTGTCTGACCTCTTGGGCCTGCCCTCTGGGTTCTAAGATTGGTGTTTATTTTCATATCACACAAGCCAAACTCACTGAAGCCAAGGTCATTGCCCCTACACAAGAATAGGAGCCACAGTCCTGAAAGGTTATTGTCATACAGACAGTGCCCAAAGGGTCAAGCTAAGGGTGAGACCGTGTCCAATGTGTTCCATGAACTCTTAGAGGAGATATACTAACATAGTACTTATTAGCATTTGCTAAATTGACTACAAACCATATTCTTGTGGGGTTTCTCACTTTAGAAAATGAATATGTGTATAGATTTTCACTTTCTATCTTATGAAAGCTTACCCTCCAAATCCTCCAAGGAAAGGAGCAGAGAGGGCAGAGTCAAGAGATTTTCCTGGGTTAGTTAAATAGGTCATGGGTGAAACCAAGGCCCCTTTGATCACCTGCTCCTTCTCCAGTTTCTCGAGGATGCGAACCAAGGATTTAGCCAGGGGTTTTTTCCCAACCAAACAGGCTCCAAAATACAGCCCTTCATGAAGCAGCTGTCCTTGGCCCAGCAGGAAGGGAGTGCATCGCTGCCTTACTGGGGTATGTTCCTTGGCCTCCGAGGGACACTGATGGCTACAGTGATCCCCCTGTTGGCCTGTGAGGATTTCAGAGGGTCCTGGTTCCTGAATAGCTGACCCAGTGATGGGGCCGCCATCCCCCCGTGGCTTCCAGGGCACTAAGGGCTTTTAAAAGCACGATGAAAACGTTGCCCCCTTAAACCCACTTGGTTGTGGGTCGTTGATGCAATGGGAACCCACGGCCGGGAATGGCACTGGACGTGTGAGATCACAGCGCCCCTCAGGTCTCAGGGTAGAGCCGCCCTTGAGGGCTGGTCACGGTGGCCTCTTGGGGGAAGTTTGGGATGGGGCCCAGGAGCTCCCAGACTGGCCTCCAAGGCAGGGAAGGTCGGAGACCTGAGTCCATCCGCTCACCCCCATTTCCTTCGCAGATGCAACGCAAGCGTTCAGAAGAACGCGAGAAACCAAACTGCGTATGACCTGGCCCTGGAAACTGTGGATGACCGTTAGCCCTGAGGGCCCAGCAGGCTTCCTTTAAAGAAACCATCCAGCTCTGGCTGTGCTTTGTTCTCTTCCTTCTGAAATGCGTATCTGAGGTTTGAAAACTGAGCTCAAGAGGCGCTCATAAGCTTTTAAAAGTTATGTGACAGTATAAGCCCCCAACACCCCATGAGTATTTCCCCAAATGCCCTGGAGAGTGATGAATTTAGTGTATGCTCTCAGTGGTGTATTGCTGCTTGTCTTAGAATTTGCTCTTTTATTTCTCAGTAGAAAAAATTACACACGGTTCTAAGCCAAAAGGTATAAAGTGTTGTGAAGTCTCCCTCTCGTCCCTGCCCCACAACCACCCACGTCCCCTCCACAGAGGCCACCAGTGACATCCGTGTCCGTCGTGTCTTTCCAGTAGTGTAGGATTATATAAGCAAATGTACGTAGTATGTGTATGTGTTCATACGGAGTACACGTAAAATATAAGTAGAGGTAACACATATATTCCGTCCCCTTGTCTAAGACAAATGGTGGGAAACCACGTACTGCTCTGCATGTTGTTTGCTTAATATATCTAGTAATTGGTTCCAAATTAGTTAGTGCATAAAGATTGAGCTTATTAGAATTTTTCCTTATTAAGCTAAACTCATCAATATTCCTGTTGTTATGGCTTGTTCTTTGGTTGACAAGTAAGCTTCGAATAAACCAATTGCAGGAATGTGTAATTTGGATTCATTTCTTTTTTTCAGATGGTCATTTCAATCTTTGGGTGCTAATGCTGCAGTAGGAGTCCCTAAATTGTTTCTGTTAACATTTGTAAACAGGATATTTGTTAATTTAGAATAATTAACTCACAACAATAAGTAATAGACTCTGCTGGCATCACTGCCTACACTTTATTTTCCCAGGGTGGGTGACTGTCTGCAGGCGGACAGGTACAGAGTGGGACCCAAGCCCCAGTGGGGTTGGGCGGTGCCGACCCTGGCTTCCCAGGTAGACACCTGGCCTGGCAGCCTGCAGAAGGGGAGGGAGCGGCTGCCAGGGTAACCAGTGTCTGGAGAGCCCCGCCAAGGACAGTCATCTGGTTTGGTGTCTGGGTGGTTTGCACTGTGTCTGCTTCGTGTAGCCAGGACGACCTTTCCAGAATTCTCTTCCTTTAAGGTTGGGCTCAGGGTTGGCTGCAAGAGAAACTGCACAAGGTTCAGGATTCAGAAGATGGAAGGGATGCGGCGGCCACCACCCCAGGAAGGTGGGTTAGGGCACCCAACACTGTGGCTCGCACCCCACGGGCTCTGGAATCGACAGTGGGGGAGGAGGGTGTGCAGTTCTAGGCCATTTCCCCAGACCTCAGGGAGCAGGGAGGGCCCCAGGGACCTGCAGGTTCCACCACAATCCCCTCGGGACTCTTGGGCGAAGCTTTCATACCCTGAGCGCAGGAAACATTGCTCCCTGGGTTTTCTGCGCTTCCTGGTGGAGGGTCCCGCCCTCCCTACCCAGAGGCCCTCCCAGCACCAGCCGCCTGACATCTCACGCTGGGGCTCTGTTCTCTCACACAAACTGCCCTTGAATTTCACTCCTTCAGAATCAAACCTCATTTAAAAAGGGAACAGGTAGCTTAATAGTTAAGATGCAGGAACAGAGTTTCAAATCCAGAAACGTTCTTGGTGAAATCCTACAAGGTTACATAAAACATTATATAAACATTGAACTACATGTTTGGAAGAAAATTAAAATCAAACCCACGTTTTTAAGGCAGGACCTTTCTGGTTTCAAAAATCATGTTTTTTCTTATCCTTTATAGAGCTTTCTTTTTCTTTGCCTAATGATGGTGTATCAGGGCTTGACGAGGGAGCAGAACTGCTATAGTGATAAAAAGTCAGGGCTTTAATAAAGGAACCGGATGGTAGGCAGCCGGGGAGTGAGTGGGTCTGCCTGCGGCCCGACTAGCTGCAGCTCAGCAGGACAGCAGTGGGGAACAAAGGGCGGGTGTGATGTGGGGAGGGGTGGAGTCTATTGAGCCCTGGACGCGTCTCCCTCCCCCTCCTCACCGTGGAGCCTGCTCTGGGCCGGGCTCTCCAGAAGCAGGTGCTGTGATGGTTTGGGATGGAAGGGCATGAGTGTTTACTGGTGATTGACACCCGTAAGAGGAGGAGGAGACTGTGCAGGGGGAGCGGCTGGTGGCCCCGCAGCCCCGACAGAGCCTCCCGGGCTGCTTGAGTGGCCTCACAACATGGCGGCTGCTTGCCCTCAAGTGGGGGTTCCAGAGAGTAAGGCCGGGTCCCGTTGTTCTTTATCACCTGCCTCAGGACCACCCACCGTCCTTCCCAAGGCATCCTGCTGTGCTCAGCTCCACCTGGCACAAATACCAGAGGTAAGGATCATGAGGGGCCATCTTGGAAGCTACTTTGGTGAGTAAATAAACAGAATGAATAAATGAGAGTGGGTTAGAGCGTTGTCTAGAGAACAAGGCTCTGCGCTCGTCAGTAAGCTTCAGAAAACACTTTCCTTACTCTTCCATATGCGGCCACCTGAAACAGAAGTTTACTCCGTAGATAAATATAAAAATATAAAAAGCACACATGAATAAAGTATGAAGAGTTAGATGTTAGCTCTTTTATTCGCTAGTTTAAGTGGACATCTTTACAACAAATATATCTGGATTTGACTCCTCACATTAAAAGAAATTAAATTTAGTTCACCAGGCTCCCTGCTCCTGCTTCCATCTTTCTACAATCAGCGTTATCCTAGGATGGTAATGGGAAAACAATCACAGCGCCCACTGGGCTCCCCAGTGCCCTCAGGCCTCGGACGATTTCCTCCTCACCAGACAGGCGACCCCAGGCTTTTCTTCCATCCAAGCCCCACCACCACCTGCTATGTGCCCCGGCCCGTGCCAGCTCCCACTTTGGTAGCATCACACGCGGGGATGGGAGTTAACAACGCGGGGGAAGGCAGAATTCACTTTCTCTGCCCGGCCCTTGAGCTGGGACCGCCGTCTCCTCCTGTCCTCAGACTGGGCCCAAACCAGTGTCCCTGGTTCTCCGGCCTTTGGACTCAAACCAGAACTGCATCACCAGCTTTCCTGAGTCTCGGCTGCAGATGGCAGGCGGTGAGAATTCTCAGCCTTCGTGAGAGCACGAGCCAGTTCCGATGATAAATCTCTCTGTGTTTATCCGATTGGCTGTTTCTCTGGAGAACGCTGACTAATACACTTCTGTAATTTACTCTTTTTTTTCTTTGATATTCATCCCCGTATTCACTCTTTTTTCCCTTCAAACTGGGGGTACAAAGTGCTGAGGACCAGGCATGACAGGCAGCTCTATGATGATGCCCAGCAAGTCCCTCTCGTGGACACCGTGGGGTGCCTCTCCTGTCATTGGATGTTATGTGGCGAAGGTGACTTGAGTCTGTAATGTAATTAAAAACCATAATCAATTGATTTAAAGTTAATCAAACAGGAGGTGATCGTGGGTGGGCCTGACCTTATCAGTGGAGCCCTTTAAAAGAGTGGCTCAAGGTCAGAGGCTCGGAACCGCCGAGTCCTTCTTTTGGTTCTGGAGAAGCACACTGCAGGCTGTGGGGACCCAGGGGCGGCCGCCGGGAGCTCAAGGCCTCCCTGCTGGGCGCGGAACTCGGCCACGACCCTGCTGGGGCGGAAGCTGCAGGGGGCCTGCCTCCCCTCGGCCCCTCCTGCCCACAACACCTCTCCCCGCAGTGTCTCCGCCCGCCCAGGGAGGGAGGTTGGTGGCAGCATTCGCTCGTCTGCACGGTTCACCTTCTGTCTTTTCCCTTTTCTGTGGCCTTTGGCTTTGGCGCTGCTGGGCTTTCAGGTCATCTTGCTCTGTTCTGTCACCGCCCACCTAGGGCCACCCCAGTGCATCCTCTGCGGGTCCACCCCGCGGCTGCTGTGTCCAGGATGCCCATACCCGGGGGCTGGGATGATGCTGTCTCTGGGCTCCCGAGCCCGTCTGCCCACCTCCAGACCCTGCCCTTGCTCAGGCCTGGCCTCCCCTCCTCCCCCGGGCCCCCCAGCCTCCTCCTTCCCATCCTGCCCACGTCCTGCCCCTCCACCACCGGCCCCAGCCGCGTGTGCCTCTCCCCCCAGCAGAGATGACACGTCCAGCTGGTACCTCCCAGGTCACAGGCCCGTCTCCCCGGAGACTAAACACCTGCGGGCGCAGAATCTTGGTGCCTCCTCCCAGTTCCCGGCACATGGGTGATGAGTCTGATGCACTTCACCTGCCGGCACGAATCAAGGTCATTTTCACATTCGCACGTCCTCCGAGCCGCATGGAGCCTGAACAGTAAGATGTTTGCCCCCGAGCTGCTTCCAGGAGCTTGGAGTCAGCTGCGTCTGTGTGAGGTCAGCCAGTTAAGACGCGTCAGTATCGTGGGGTGACCTTTGGAAGGTGCGGAGCCTGAAGCCTAGGGGCACCTGCGCAGAATGACGATTATCACACCTTTTCCCAATCACCTCCCCC